CAGAGACAGAGACACAGGCAGAGGGAAAAGCAGGCTCCATGCAGGGAGCCCGACGTGGGTCTCCAGGATCACGCCCTGAGTCAAAGGCAGACGCTCAACCACTGAGCCACCCAGGTGTCCCAGACTGGGTGATTTAAATGCACACCTTTACTTCTTACAATCCTGGAGGCTGGCAAGTACAAGATCAATGGTGTGGGCCCGTCTGGAGCCCACTTCGTAGCTCATAGGTGACAGTCTTCTCATGGTGTCCTACATGGTAGAAGGAGTGAGGGAGCTCTCTGGGGCCTCTTTTATAATAAAACTAATTCTATTCATGAGGGCTCCATCCTGATGACCTAACCATCTCTCAAAGGCCTCACCTCTCAATATCATCACACTGGGGGTTAGGATTCAACAAATGGATTTCAGGGGGACACAAGCATTCAGCCTATAGTACCAGCCCAATAGGGGCTTAGCTTCAGTCAGAAATTAGGGTGGCATGAAAAAGAAAGAACATGGCAACAGAGTTTGCACTGGAGACTCTCACCCCTTATAGATGGGAGCTTACCTGAGAGTGTCAGACATCCTCATGATGACAGAGGGATTTCCACCCCCCACAGTGAAGCTTTTGGGTCAATGGTTGTGACTCTGTTGGAGAACTGGCAGAGAAGCAGGGAAGAGGTGGGCTTTCAGCAGTTGCTGTTGGTTTCAGGAATGTTGAGAATAAGCCACACATGCTTTGATTCCTGACAACAGGTGGACCACAGAGGAAGAGAAAAAAATGCAGCCTCAGTAGAGTTTGCTGATGACACAGATTTCTCTGTGTTTCTCAGAAAAAAATACTTAGAAAGGCAGGAGTGTGAAAAGTTATCTTTAGGGGCCCACCTCACACCCTGAATTTCTTAAAACAAAGCACAATTAAATTTCCAACCACCTTTCTGGGAAAAGAAGGGCACAAGCCAGAAAGGCATGTCAACCTAGGGGCAAATAGGGATATGACCTATTTAGAACGGGTCTTGGCTAGCCTGGAATTTAGCACCAGTTAAGTTCCTGGCTTAGCTGAACACCTGTGAGTTTTCCCAGTGTCTGAAGTTGACAAAGGGGGAAGGGAGTGGAGATGGCTGTACACTTTGGAGGTGAAGGAGACTGGTGCTGAACTGGAGATAACAAAGTACTTTCTCAGGTGTGGCCAGATGGAAGTTGGGGAGTTCTCAACACTACACAGAACTCCGACTGGCACTTGATGATTCTTTGGGAAGCTGGGTGGGAGCTCCTTCTGCAAGATCACTGAGAGCAGGCTGCCAAGGCAAAGTGCCTCCGGGACCTTTATCTGCCAGCAGTGCAAGGACCCAAGACATTTTGGGAGACACTGAGCTTTGGAGGAGGTGGTGGAGTTACAGAGTCCAGGTCTTCCTGACCTTGAGTATTATTTCCCCTGCCATTACAGTGTCTCCAAAATTGAGGGTTTTGACATCGTCCTGGGCATTAGTAAGAAACTGAAGCAATAACTAGGAGTGATCGTTAGAAAGTGTTCTGAGACTTACTACACATCAAGTGCCAAAATAAATTCCAGGTAAATTAAAAAGTTAAAGAATAAATATCCTAACAGGAATGCCTGGGTGGCTCAGCCTTTGGGCTTCTGCTTTTGGCCCAGGGTGTGATCCTGGGGTCCTGGGATCGAGTCCCACATCGGGCTTCCTGCATGGAGCCTGCTTCTCCCTCTGCCTGTGTGTCTGCCTCTCTCTCTCTCTCTTTCTCTCTGTCTCTGATGAATAAATAAATAAATAAAATACCTTAAAAAAAGAATAAATATCATAACAAAAGAATGAGAAGAAAGTTTAGTTGATCCTAAGGTGGCAAAGGCCTTTCAAAACATAGGAGTAAAAAAAACCTCAGGTTTGAAATATACGTATACAAAATTTTAAAATTCTTTAGTTTTTAAATCACCAAAAAAAAAATTAATAGGATACAGTTAATAGGAATTCAGTTGGAAAAAATATTTGCAGTGTATGATTACTGGTTAATGTCCTTAATATAAAAGAATACATAAGAGAGGAAGCCTGACTGGCTTTTTCAATAAAGCAGGTGACTCCTGATCTCAGGGTCGTGAGTTCAAGCCCCACATTCGGCATGGAGCCTTCTTTAAAAAAAAGATACATAAGGAAGAAATGGATGATCATCTCAACAGAAATATGCTAGTTGCCAATAAGCATATGAAAAATATTAATTAAAATAACAGTGAAATATGATAATATACTATACAGTTCTTCAGAATTGACTGACATAGGCAAAAACATAATATCCAGTATTGTCAAGGGTACAAAGAAAGGGGCATTCTCAGACATTTACAATTGAAATGTAAAATGGTTTGACTTTTCTGGAGGGCAATTTGGCAGTTTATATTATAAGCCCTAAAATATGCATAACTTTGGTCTCAGGAATTTCTCCTCTAGGAAGTTATCCTTTTTTTTAAAGATTATTTATTTATTTGAGAGAGAGTGCACAGGAGTGGGGAGGGGGCAGGGAAGTGTGCACAGGAGCGGGAGGGAGCAGGGAAAGTGTGGCAGAGGGAGAGGTAGAAGCAGGAAGCCTGATGGGCTTGATCCCAGCACTCTGGGATCATGACCTGAGCCAAAGGCAGATGCTTAAAAGACTGAGACATCCAGGTGCCTCCTCTAGGAGTTTATCTTAAGGAAATAATGAAGGATATGCACAGAGACTTATCCACAAAAATATCTACTATAGTGTTATTTTTAAAATGACAAATCCTGGGGAGAGGGTATTAAATGGTTAGATTTGACAGAGTTGGGAGTGACTAAATGGGTCTTCATCACTGTATTCATTTCCTACTGTAACAAAATTACCATAAAGGTAGTGGCTTGAAACAACATAATTTTTTTTTTTCTGAAACATCATAAATTTCTTATCTCACAGCTTTATAGCTCAAAGACGGACCCGGGTCTCAATGGGTTACAGCTGAGGGGCTGGCAAGACCGTGTTCCTCCAGGAGACTCCAGGTCAGAGTCCATTTCTAGCTTCTAGAGGCTGCGCACACACCTTGGCTCTGGTCCCCCTCTTCCATCTCCACATCCAGCAACATAGCCTCTTTCAGACCTTTCTTTGGTCACTGCATCTCTCTCTTTTTCTGTCCTCCTCTTCCACTTTTAAGGACACTTTGATCACTTTGGGCCTACCCAGTTAATACTCTTAGCTAATTAGCAACCTTAATTCCAATTGCCATGTAACTACAGGTCCTGGGGATTAGGGCACTTAAGTCTTGGGGGGATGTCATTATACTGCCTACACTACTGTGTTAGTCCATGTGCTTCTCATTATTAAATGTTTTGTAGGGTAGCCCAGGTGGCTCAGCAGTTTAGCACCGCCTTTGGCCCTTTGGCCCTTTGGCCCTTTGGCCCAGGGCCTGATCCTGGAGACCTGGGAATTGAGTCCCCCATGGGGCTCCCTGCATGGAATCTGCTTCTCCCTCTGCCTGTGTCTCTGCCTCTCTCTCTCTGTGGGTCTCTCATGAACAAATAAATAAAATCTTTAAAAAAAATTTTGTAATCTTTAAAATATTAAATATTTAAAAACCCAAAACGAATGTCCACTTTAGGGTACGGATGAAAGGAGGGTGTATTCATAGGATGAATGCTATGTGCACATTAAAAGTCTTTTTTTTTTTTAAGATTTTATTTATTTATTCATGATAGTCAGACACACACACAGAGAGAGAGAGGCAGAGACACAGGCAGAGGGAGAAGCAGACTCCATGCACGGAGCCCGATGTGGGACTCGATCCCGGGTCTCCAGGATCGCGCCCTGGGCCAAAGGCAGGAGCCAAACCGCTGCGCCACCCAGGGATCCCAAAAGTCTTAATGTAGGAAAATATGTCTTAACGTGGACCGATGTTCATTATACGGTCAGTGAGGGGAAATCAAGTCTACAAAAGAATATGCACCAGATGGCACCAATTATGTGAAACCCAAGCCCCCAACAAACCTATACGCCAGGAGAAGTGGAAAAAAAAAAAAAAGTTTGGAAGGTCATAGGTCAAATTGTCAATATTTATCTCTGGATAGTAATTTTAGCTTTCTTCAGTTTTCCTGCAGTTCTCCAAATATGCGAAATAAAAGGTGATCGGGCATGTCTTCTAGGACATTTTTCTGGACAAGCGTTTCCCTGGTTTCCTAGTTTTGGGGTTTTTTTGTTTGCTTTTGTTTTGCTTTGTTTTGTTTAGTTTTTTCCTAGTTTTTGATCACACTCGCGCACACCCGTCCCTCAAATTCATTTTCACCAAAAGATACGCCCAGTCCGGCTCTCGGCGATGCCGGTTCCCCGGCCCGGGCCGTCTGCGCTGGGGAAGAATCCCCAGAGGCGGGAAGGAGCCGGGCGGTGGACTACGCCTCGGCAGCCAATCGGTGCTGCTGCTGCTTCTTTTTTAAAAGATTTTTAAGTTTATTTATCCATGAGAGACGCAGAGAGACACAGAGGGGCAGGGACGCGGGCAGAGGGAGAAGCGGGCCCGCGCTGGAGCCCGGCCGGGACTCGATCCCGGGTCTCGGGGGTCACGCCCCGGGCGAAGGCGCCGCTGAGCCGCCGCCGCTGAGCCGCCGCTGAGCCGCCGCGCCACCGGGCTGCCCCGATCGGTGCTGCTGAAAAACTTCTTCGGGGCGATGCAAACGCAAGGCACAGCGCTCCCCCCAGGAACTTAGCCGGGACCCCGGAAGCTGGATCACAAATACGCCAAACTTGCCCAATTCCGCTGACCCGGCTTAACAGCGGTGATCAGTGCTACTGTTTCCACGCGCGCGGGCGGCGGCAGGGCTGGGGCCCGGGGACCCGGCGCCCCTCCGCGGGCCGAGCGCAGGCGGCTTCCCGGCCGCGCCACATAGGGCAGGAGCCGCCGGCCGCCGCGTAAGCTCGCGCCCGCCCGGCCTCCGCCCCCGGGAGCCGCCGAGGACGCCGCCGAGGCCGAGCGCACCACCGAGACGAGCGCCTAGAGCGGCCGCGCCCGCCCGCCCGCGCCGCCCGCGCCGCCGCTCCGCCCGGCCGCCTCTATCCCGGAAGTTGATGCGGCTCGCCCGCTCGCGTGCGGCTGGCTGGGGGTGTCGCCGTCGGCCTCGGGACTGGCTGCGATTGCGAAAGGGTCGACATGCCTGTGAGTTGTTTACTTGCTGGCTTCCCGTTTGTTTCGGGCTTGTCTGTCGGGGGGGCCCGGGGCGCCGGCTAGCCCGACCCGGTCGGCGGGCCCGCGGTCGGCCCCTCCGCGCGTGGCGGACTTGTCGGGACTTGCCCGGGCCCTGTGGGCGTGGGGCGGGGGCGGGGGCGGGGACGGCTCTGGGCCGCCCTGGCTGGGCTCGGGGCCGGAGTCCGCGGCCGGGAGGGCGCAGCTCCTGGGGTCCCCGGGTGGGCGGGCCCCCGCCGTCCCGGGTTTGGGAGGGCTCCGGCGAGACTGTCGTCTTTGGGGTCCTGTCGCCCTTCTTGGGCTGCCTGGCTCGAGCCCGCCTCTCGGGGAGCGATTTTCCGCTGGTCTCCTTGTGAAAAACTGTCTTGCAGTTGCCCGGGCGTGTTTACTCCCTCGGGGGCCGGGACGCCGCGGCCGCTCCCGGGTCCTGTCGCGTCGGACGCTGAGCGCCCCGGGCACGGCGCCAGGGCTCAGCCGGGCCTCGCCGCCCTCGGCCCTCGGCCCTCGGCCCTCGGCCCTCGGCCCTCCGCGCTCCGCCCTCCGCGCCCCGCCTCCGCGGCTTGCGCCCTGAGCGGCTGCGGGGCCGGGCACCGCCTTCCTCAGCCCCACGGAGATCGCACTCAGTTGAGTGAAGAAGAGCGGGATCCCCGTACCCTAACCGCGGGCTTCCCGATCGCCCAGAGTTCCTTTACCTAACCCCGGGCCTCGGGGAACACAGGCAGTATAAAAAGTATTGATTAAAGTGACTTCGCAACCTAATAAATGAGATCTGACGTGTTGCCTCTGCTGAGTAGGATTTGTTCTTCCTTGTTTGGCGTGTATATGTCACATATGGTTAAATGTGGATTCCTTCTAGCAATAATAGTAATATAATATAATAATAATAATAATAATAATAATAATAATAATACTTTGTTTTTCAGCTGGCTAGAGATTTGCTACATCCGTCCTTGGAAGAGGAAAAGAAAAAGCATAAAAAGAAACGGCTAGTTCAAAGCCCAAATTCCTATTTTATGGATGTAAAATGTCCAGGTAAAAATGTCTAATCTTAATTCCTTTCCCAAGGAATATTTCTTTTTTTTTTTTTTTTAAGATTTTATTTATTTATTTATGAGAGAGACAGAGAGGCAGAGACATAGGCAGAGACAGAGAAGCAGGCTCCATGCAGGGAGTCCGATGTGGGACTCGATCACGGGTCTCCAGGATCACACCCTGGGCCGAAGGCAGGCGCCAAACCGCTCAGCCACCGGGGCTGCCCCCAAGGAAAATTTCTAAAGGATGGCACGGTAGGACCTTTTGTTGAGTAGAAGTAGAGTCACAGAATTGGAAATGTCAAAAGGGACATTTTCCTAATAAACTATTCAAACCATTGGAGAAACACTCGGGGGAAGGGTGGCGAAGATGAGACTCCAAAGGGGATACCCCATTTGACTTACTCTTGAAGTGGTCAGGCGGTTCAGATGAGTTTTCTTTCTCATGATGCAGTGAGAAGCATGTCGATTCTTTAGTGTTCAGCAGTGCTGCCGGGTGTTTGGTGGCCGTTAGCCATAAGTAGCTACTGAGCGCTTGAAATGTGGCCAAAGTGGAAAATACTCCTTATGTGGAAAATATACACTGGGATTTTAAGATACAGCGCACAGACATTAAAAACCATACCAATTACCTGTTGAAATGGTAATAATATTTTGGAAATGCTAAGTTCAAGAAAATACATTATTAATTCTACCTGTTGGCTTTTGTAAACTTTTTTATTGTGACTCCTAGAAAAGTTTAAGTTAAATGTATGTCTTACTGTTGCACAGCACCTAAGTTCTTAATCTTTTACAAGGTCTTTACTAGAAATGTGAAAAATATTCTTTATTTTCTTCCACTTTTCACTTTTAATGGTGCCCTTTTTCTAGGTTGCTACAAGATCACCACGGTTTTCAGCCATGCCCAGACGGTGGTTCTTTGTGTAGGCTGTTCAACCGTGTTGTGCCAGCCGACGGGAGGAAAGGCCAGACTCACAGAGGGTATGTCTTTTGGCCTTTTCTCACCCAGTCATGAGGTTTTATGGTTATAAATGTCTACCTTTACTAAAAACTAGTTTAAAAGAAATCTTAAATTCATTATTACCAAAAATATTTTTTATCCTCATTGTATGCTCTTTCAGTAACGAGTGCCCTGCTCAGATAGAGAAGCTTATACTTTTGGCTTTGCAAGGAACTCATTTAAGTAATTATTGTTTTTCTTAGTGTGGAACACCTAATTCTGTTCTAGTCAGTCATATAGTTTGCTTAACTTAATATATTAAACTTAGGTCAGAATGGAGCAAAAGAATATATACAATAGGACAATGGATTTTTAAAACCATGGAATTTAAAAAATTATCTTCTAAATGTTTTGTTTCACGTGTATTTGACACATTTGACTGAAGACAGTTTTTATCATTACTAGCTAAGCAACAGATAACCAAGGTATAAATTAAAATGCCAGATGTTTGATTTCTCTGAGCACCTACTTAATGGTTACATAAAAATCTCATTTTATTATAATTATTTTTTTAAAAGATTTTAAGTAATTTCTACACCCACCATGAGCTCAGACTTAAAACCCTCGAGATCAAGAATTGCAGGCTCTACCAACTCAGCCAGCCAGGTGCCCCTAAAAATCCCATTTCAATTCCTCTTTCACTTTTGTCCAGTAAGAAAAATATAGTTTACATATATTGTTTTCCATAGTAGTACTTACAGATTTATAATTCCATAATGGTATTTGAAATTTGGTTGTGATATTTTGGGGAGTTGTGAATTCCATAATCTCCCCAGAAGAGTTATAAGTAGATTGGCAATGAATCCAAGATCTATTTTGTGTGACCTGGTGAGATCTAAGTATGAAGTTGGCATATAATATTTAAGTACAGTATTGCTCTCAAAAGTATACTTGTAAGATTTTTTAAACCTTTATATCATGTCATGATCTTGGAGTTTTGTGCCAATGGATGATTAATAGGGTATTAGAGTTTTCCTGGCAGACTTGAAGAGAATTCTAATCAAAATTAGTTTCTTAGGAAAGTAATTCAGAATAATTCCTAAAAATTAAGATTGCATTTTCTGACCGCTTGCATTAAAGTTGTAACTATTGAAATTAGATCATAGTCTTATATAGACCAATATAGCATTTGGGAAACAAGAATAACAGTCATAGTCACATCAGAATAAATTCAAATATACAAGATTTATTATAGTAAATTTCTGGCATAAAAGAATAAATAACCTATATTATGAATATTAATCTAATATTCCTAAAACTTAGTTTTTTTTTACTTAAAAAGTACTTTTTGTCATTAAAACTATAGCAGAGGTAGAGTACATGTGTGTTTAACATGTTCCTGTGGTTCCTTTGCAGGCTGTTCATTTAGAAGAAAGCAACACTAATGATCTGCACAACCTCTCGAATTTGTGTTACATCGCAGAAAGCCTTATCATTATCAGTTCAGTAATTCCAGTTAATCTACCAAGATAATGTAATTATGTTTAATTTTGTAAGGTTTACAACAGTGATCTCCTATTTTGGTGTCAGTTTTTCAATAAAGTTTTGATTATGGGCAAATTCCCCTTTTCCTTTTTTTTTAAGTGTGTGTGAATATGCTATATGTGTATATATGCTGTGTGTGAATTTGGTATAAACATTTTTAAAAAGTGTATTCTGATTAGTTCGTCTCTTTCAAAAGTAGAACCTGTAAATATTTGATTATCAGTCCTTTTCCAATTTGCTATGAGTGGGCTAAATAATTAAAACATGGAAAGAAGTCCATTATGTGTTAATTCTAAATGCAGTCTTGCCATTGTAACTATGGAAACACATGTGTAGAAGTACATATTTAATGCAATAACAATCAGTATAATTACACAGTAATTACAATTAATGCCTTGGATTTATGTGGCCCTAATGTACTGCATAATTTAGCAGAGTAACTGCAGCTGGGGTCTGAGTTATAGGAAGCACCTTTTGAGATAGGAATTTTTAGAGGAGGCATCAGGAGTAGCATGATTTACCCCAGGATGTCCTGATGAGAATGATAGATGACATGGAATTCTCTGGTCCAGACATGAACACTCCTGAATACAGACATGTGTTGAGTGGCTCTGGTGTCTCATTTTTGTAATTTATGAAGTGGCCCTGGGGAGCTAGGAGGTGGAATGTATCTCCTTCTAGGCATATTGGACTGGGAAGGTAACTGCTTGTATTTAACTTGTTACCTTTAAAGCAGACACTTAAGTATTTCCTATCGAGGTGTTTCTATATTTACCCCCAATCTCGGAAACTGATCCTATGAGAGGAATGTTGCACAAGAACTGAAGAACTGGAAAGTTTGGAGTGTAATATATAGAGAAATAACCCAAAGTTTCCCAAACTTTCTTGGTTTATGGTGCCTGGAGTCTTTTTTCAGAGTCCCTTTGCTAGTAGAAATACCTAACAGTTAACATTTATTAAGTAGTTAGGTTCTAATACATGTAAATGAAAAAAAGGACACCGGGGTGGCTCGGCTCGGTCAATTAAGCGTCCAACTCGATTTCCGTTCAGGGCATAATCTTAGGTGGTGAAATCAAGCCCCATGTTGGAGGTTGGAGACACTGGGTACAGAGCCTGCTTAAGATTCTCTCACCCGCCCCTTCTGCTCCTCCCCAACCCCATCCTTCTCTCTCAAAAAAATAAATAAATAAATAAATAAATTATTGCATTCTTAGATGACCACAGGGTTACTAATAGAATGGGTGTCACTTTTGGGCACTGCAGTTTCTCAACATTGGGATCAGATTGGACACTGCCATCCTCATTTCTTCCACATTCATTTTTGCATAGTACTTGCTTTTTATCACAGCAATGGCCCAAAACCCAACTTCACAAAGATATGACATCATCAAGAGGAATGTGCCATATAATGTAACTGAACTAACTGGAACTAGAAGTAGGCATGGTATCCAAAAGATAACCAAGTATCAATGTTTTTCCTATAGTGTCCCAACTCCCCTCAGCTTGCCCTCCCCAAGGAGAGCCAGTGGGGATTGACAGGCTGTTGATATTGATGGAAGGGAGCAAAACCTATAATAACTATCTTAGAGGGCAGATCCCTGAAAATTTCCTTGGAAATAGTACCGAAAGAAGATTTACCTGGAACAACATATCTGAAAATTAAGTTATGGAAATACCTGGCCCTGGGAGGTGAATGGTGTGTTGAGGTTTACTTCATTATTAATGTAAATGGTGTTACTGGGCTTGAAAAATAATAGTACACTAGGACTTTTACAAACTTTAAAATCTGCCATATCTTTGCTATTTACTGAATGTTTTTCTTAAATACTATTATTTATATTGGCTTCATTTTTTTAATGTAAACATTTCTTATCTGTTTTTGCTTTTTGGCTACTATGAATAATGCTACTATGAACATGTGTGTATAAGTTTTTGTATAGACATTTTAAATTCTCTTGGGTAATATACCTAGGAGTAGAATTGCTAGGTTATGGTAATTCTGTGTCTAGCTTTTTGAGGAAATGCCTATTTTCCGAAAAGGCTGCACCATCTTATATTCCAAATAGTAATATGCAAGGTTATAATTTCTCCACATCTTCACCAACATATGTTTTTATCAGGCTTTTTGATCATAGCCATTTTAGTATGTATGAAAAGCTATCTCACTTTGGTTTTGATTTGCATTTCCCTGATCATTAATTATGTTGACCATCTTTTATGTGCTTACCGGCTATTCACATCTTCTTTGGAGAAATGTCTATTCAGATCCTTTGACCGTTTTAAATTGGGTTGGGGTTTATTGTTGAGTTGTAAGAATTCTTACATATTCTAGACATGACACACGATTTTCTTCCATTCTGAGGGTTGTCTTCATCTTTGTCCTTAGAAAAACAAACATCTTTAATTTTAATGAAGTCTAATTTATCTATTTTTTGTAGTTGTTTCTTGTGCTTTTGGTGTCATATTTAAGAAGTCATTATGTAATTCAAGGCTATGGAGATTCATGCCTATTTTCTTCTAAGAACTTACAGTTTTAGTTCTTACATTTAGGTTTGATCCATCTTGAATTAAATTAATTTTTGCATATGGTGTGAGGCAGGGGTTCAACTTTATCCTCTAATTCTTTTTAATGGTTGCATACTATCCTATTATCCTGTTGATGAGCACTTTTTCTATTTTTTTCCACTATACTCAACTGCCATAAATATATTTAAATATGTCCTTAATTGCTTTTATTGCTGTGGGTTAGATTTCCAGGATTAAGATTGCTGGTTGGAAAGATAAAATGTATTTTTTTAATTTTAATGGGTAATACCAATTGCTTTCCACCAGCAATATAAGAACACATTCTCCTCCTTCTACATCTCTTCCATTAGAAATATGGCTAAAAATAATTGGAATATAGTTTCCTCTTGCTGCTGTAACAGATTAGCATGAATTTAGTGGCTTAAAACAGCATAAACTTAAAGGATCATCTCTCTCTCCAAAAACAAAACAAAAAATACACACAAAAACCAAAGAAACAAGGAAAACATAAATTTATTGTCTTATAGTTTTGGAGGTCAGAAGTCCAAAATGGCTAAAATCAAGGTCTCAGTGGGGCCATGTTCCTTCTGGGCACTTTAAGGGGAGATCTATTTCCTTGTCTTTTCCAGCTTCTAGAGGCTGCCTGTATTTCTTGGTCTGTGACCTCACATCCTCCTACCTCTACTTATGTCATTACATCTCCTGTCTCACTTTCTACCTTTCTTTAAAAAAAAAAAAATTACTTATTTTAGAGAGAGAGGGAGAGACAGTGCTTGTGAGCAGAAGGAGGGGCAGAGGCAGAGGGAGAGAAATCCTAAAGCAAACACCCAACCGAACACAGAACCTGATCTGGGGCTCAATCCCAGGACCCTGAGATCATCATCTGAGCTGAAATCAAGAGTTGGATGCTCAACGAACTGAGCCACCCAGGCATCCCTACCTTCCTCATAAAGATACTCGTGGGGATGCCTGGGTGGCTCAGCAGTTTAGTGCCTGCCTTCCACCCAGGGTGTGATCCTGAAGACCTGGGATCAAGTCCCACGTCGGGCTCCCTGCATGGAGCCTGCTTCTCCCTCTGCCTGTGTCTCTGCCTCTCTCTCTCTCTCTCTCTCTCTCTCTCTCTCTCTCTCTCACTGTCTCTCATGAATAAATAAATAAAATATTTTAAAAAATAAAATTAAAAATACTATTGGGACGCCTGGGTGGCTCAGCGGTTGAGCGCCTGCCTTTGGCCGGCATGATCCTGGAGACCTGGGATCCAGTCCCAGGTCAGGCTTCCTGCATGGAGCCTGCTTCTCTCTCTGCCTACGTCTCTGCCTCTCTCTGTGTCTCTCAAGAATAAATAAATAAAATCTTTTAAAAAAATACTAACAAAGTGCTTAATGTGTGTTAGGCATTGTGCTAAGCACTTTGTATATTATCTCATTTTATCTTCAAAACACCCCATTACGTAGAAATTATTCTTACTTTGCCTGAGGTCACACAACCATTAGCCATTGGAAATCCTTTCAAGCCTTTGTATATCTGGTTCTGAAGCCTATTCTTTTTTTTTTTTTTTCTGAAGCCTATTCTAACCATTATCTTGCCTTCTCATTAAAAAAGGCAAACTTAGTGCCTTAGGGCCTTAATATGTATATATATTTACATTTATTACATTTACATTTACAATTATATATATATATTTGGACTTTAGTATAAATATGGCTACACATAAAGAGAAATATACTTTTTACTAATATACAAATTAATATAAAGACAAGACAGATGGCACAGTAGAGTCATGTTTTTACAAACTACCTTCTAAATACAGAGCATGATATATAAAATGGGAAATGGGAATATGAAAAAAACATTCAAGACATTCATGGACTGGAGAACACTAACACAAAACACTGAGCAGGGCTGAAGCTAATGTCTGGTGGATTCTGAGTCCAAAATGCAGTGTGACAGCTTAAATTTCTGTTCCTGTAAAATAATCAAACCTAAAACTCCTTCCATAAGAAAAAAAATTTAGGGATCCGTGGGTGGCTCAGGGGTTTAGTGCCTGCCTTCGACCCAGGGCACAATCCTGGAGTCCTGGGATTGAGTCCCCCGTTGGGCTCCCTGCATGGAGCCTGCTTCTCCCTCTGCCTGTATCTCTGCCTCTCTCTCTCTGTGGGTCTCTCATGAATAAATAAAATCTTTGGGAAAAAAAGAAAGAAAACAATTTAAAGGTAGGCTTTTAACTAAATCTGACAGGACTATTCTCCCTATTTTTTTCCTTTTTTTAAAAAAAGATTTTTAAAATTTATTTATGAGACACACACACACACACACAGAGAGAGAGAGAGAGAGAGAGAGGCAGAGACACAGGCAGGGGAGAAGCAGGTTCCCTGCGTGGGACTCGATCCCAGGACCCCAGGATCATGACCTGAGCCGAAGACAGACACTCAACCACTGAACCACCTAGGCATCCCTGTCCTGGATTTTTTAGGTGAGCCCAATGTAATCACAAGTGTTTTGTTTTTTTTAAGATTTTATTTATTTATGAGACACACACAGGCTGCCCC